ATAAAATCTTTTGCATTCCTGCAGACCCTGGAATGCAGAGCGCAGAAAGGAAATGAGTGAACAGAGAAATCCTGGCAGACATTCAAGCCACATCCTGAAAGATGAAGCTTATTGGTGTAGTAAACGTATTATTTACAAGGTGTAATAATGTTTGAACACTATGCTTGTCTGACATTTATTAAAGCAATCTATTTTTTTCCCATGAGATTAAAAAAATGTTGCTACTTATAGAGTTGCACTGTGAGTTGACACATAGAATACATGGAGTTTAGAACAGCAGCATCTTTTGGATAAGTAATAGAGGGGTGCTCTGTTTGCATGAATTCTGAAGTAATTTCCTCTTAAATATTTTCATTGTGTGCAGCGTAAGGAACAGTGTATTCCAAAATGCTCTAAGTTGCCTAGTAATTATCTAATATTGGCCACAGGTACACATCTGATCTAAAACTTTCTCATTTTAATTGCATGTTGAATTAACTAGTTCAGGCAGAGATAGCGGTCTTACTTCTGTTGCAGCAAAGTTGCACACAGAAAAAATCACCCACCTCCCAAGAATCTCATTGCCTTGATAGCACCTGTTTTGGGTATGCTGATTTCTTTGTAACTACTGTTAAGTCTCCATTGTGAAACTTTGTGAAACAGAATATTTTATTTTATTTTTTGTGCAAGTTTTGCTTGTTTTTTTGCAGTAAGCTTTCTTTCCTCTAATAGATACCTTGACGTTGTTATCTAGGCTGTAAATCTCTGGCTGGCTCTGAATCACAACTACAGTACATAGCATTTGTGTATCTCTTTGGTTTATTCAATTTCCTGAAGTCACAGGTATTGGCTGATCATTATTACTGTACATATATATTACAATTTAAAAGCAACATAAAGCATTTGTGCAGTGTGCAAATGGGAGATGCAGAAAGCAAAAAATAAGGCATGAGTGTAACAAAAAAAGCACAATTTGAAAACCACAAGCTTTCCCTCTCAAGTAAAGTATCTCATGCAAAACATCACAAGCTCATCAGCTGAGAAAAGAGAAATGATAAAAACGCACAAGGCTCCATAAGCTAATAAATAGATCCTTTCTAATTACATCCATATTGCTGGATAATCTGATTAGTTAAACTCCTAAAGTATTAAACAGAGACCGGCTAATCCCTTCTCATACCAGTCTCCGGAGTCAAAAAAGAGCTTAGCATCAAGACATTATGCATGCAAATAGCCCAACTCATCTCCAATTTAATGCAGTCCTCAACTTACGATTGCAACTGAGCCCAAAATTTCTGTTGCTAAGCAAGGCAGTTATTGAGTGAGTTTGGCACCATTTATGACCTTTCTTGCCACAGTTCTTAAGCGAATCCCCACAGTTGTTAAGTAATGTGGTTGTTAAAGTGAATCTGGCTTCCCCATTGACTTTGCTTGTCCAGAGGTTGTGAAAGGGAATTGCAAGACCCTGGGACACACTGCAACTGTCATAAATAGGAGTCAGTTGACATAGTAGCTGAATTCTGATCATGTGACCATGGGGATGCTGCAATGGCCATAAGTGCTAAAAACGGTCATATGTCACTGCTTTCAATGCCATTGTAAGTTCAATGCCATTGTAACTACTAAGCAAATGGTTGTAAGTTGAGGACTACCTGTATTTGAGGTTGTGGCTTGCTTTATGCTGCACTGATTTTGTTATTCCTCCTCGTCCATCTTTGTCAAATGTAAAATAGCCGACAACCCTTTCTCTGTTAGGAGCATTAGGCAATTGTGAAATCTCTGTTCCACTACATCTTGTAAGTTTTTCAGTCTGACAATATTTTGGCCATAATTCTAAAAAAAAGCTTCAATGGGTTAGTGATTTTAATAAAAGCCCTCTTCATTAAAGGTAAAGGATAATTCTACATTCAAATCAATGCTAATTTGCTCCCAAATCACTTTTCAAGGCGATAGAAAAGCCCTGTGAACAATGAGAATCAGGAAAATTTGTAATAACTACCATTACTTCTGAAATATTAAAAATAATCACATACATGAGGACAGTAAACATAAAAATGTCTCCGAGATTTCTTGAACAGATGGCTAATTCTCATGACAAAAAAAACTTTCGTCAGCTTAGATTGATAAATTTTGAGTCTATATGCGTTTCGAATCTTGTTCCAACTGTCCCAAAAATTAACCAAGTAAGATTTGATTATTTGAATGGGCATTTACCTAGCAATACTAGACCAGGATTACAGAGCTAACCTGAAAACATAGAAAACTTTTTCCATACTTGTCAATCAATTGCACGGGCTTACCCGTGGAATCACCAGAAATCCAGCAACAAACTGATTGTATCACGTTGCTTAGCAAAAACCAAAATTATTGCAAGTGAGTAGATGGGGTGAGTACAAATAGGTCTTTGGAAGGGGAAACCAAGGAGAAAGTACATTTTCGTTAGTTCTTGTGACTGCAGAAGTGTCATGTTTTTTACTCCGAAGAGGACAAGAATTATACAAAGTTCAGGATGTATTGCACAAGTTCAGGATGTACATTCTGGAAGAAAAAGTGAAAGGACTTATGCTTAGGAGGGAAGATGGGAAATTCTTAAATTAGATACAGGAGGTGCTTGCAAAAGGACAGCAGCAGCAAGAAGCTTCCCAGAAGATAAAAAGAAAGCCCACGGGAACATCCAAATCCATAAAAATCTTTTAGTATTTCAGTGGCTTCAGAACAGATTTCAGTCTCACCGCTGATTAATTTTCTGAATTCCTGGATGAAAAGTGGCCATAAATCTCAAACACTAAGATGACTCACTAGGATGAGTAAAGTCCAGGTTATTATAAGGACTATCTCCCAGTTTCTGCCTGTTCAGTAAGATTGGGTAAAGTTAGTATGCTCCATGTCCCTTCAATTTAACACCTTCTACCTGACCCAGGAATTTTACCATTTTTGTTATGGTATCTCCACTCTAGAATGATATCCCCCTAAAGTTCCCCTAATGATGTTCCAGTAATCTTTAAAAACATGGTTCTTCTCCCAGGCCTTGAAGTACGTGGCCATGGAGCCCTGTTAGGTGGGGGGTGGGGGGTTTAAACCCATTATGGGGTATTATTGTCTAGACACTTTAGATTTTTCCTCTATTTTTTATTTTCAAATTGTAAGAGTCCAGAGCAAATTAAATCAAAATTTTAAAATACAATTGAATGATTCCTGCCTCTACTTTAATGATAGTGATAATCAGAAACCCCTTATTGAAAGAAACAGGTGCTAGATTCTCTCTGGTGATCAGTCAAGCAAGAGAAAGGTGTGGCATGCATGAGATAAAAAGCCCATTGATAAATATCTTCTGCACTATATGACACAGACAGCCAAAGCCTTAAAGATGGCTATGACGATAAAGAGTAATAGCAGAAAGATGAGAGCTGGGACACAGTAGATATTTCCCTGTTTTTCATTCCATCCATCCATCCATCCATCCATGTGGTCCAATAAGAGCAAGAAGTGTAGCCATCTGGCTACATAGACAAGGCCAACAGGAATGGTTTAGATTTTAATAAGAAAACCTGTTTCCAAGACAGGAGACTCCTGGCAGGGGAGAGGCTGCATCTCACAAGAGTTGGTCAGAAGGTGTTTAAAAAGTACTTTGCTAACATGATCCAGAGGACTTTACATTGAAATGGTACTGGGAATGGAACTGAATGGAGTATGCAGGATGTGTCGGCAACCAATAACAAGGATGCAAATACAAGAAGGACCACACCAAGTCACAAGGATTTCAAGTGTCTTTATATAAATACTCAGAATGTGGGGCACAAACTTTATGAATAAAAAGCTTAATGCAGGAAGATAAGTAAGAGCTGTGGTGGCACAATGGTTAGAATGTAGTATTGCAGGCTAATTCTGCCAGAAGTTCGATCCTCACTGGCCCAAGGTTGACTCGGCCTTCCATCCTTCCAAGGTCGGTAAAATGAGGACCCAGATTGTTGGGGACAATATGCAGACTCTGTAAAACTGCTTACAGAGGGCTGTAAAGCACCATGAAGTGGTATATAAATCTAAGTGCTAAGAACTGGAATTATACTACCATTAGATCCGAGAAACTTTCCAAAAAGGTACTTATGAAAATGTTGGGAATAAATTAAGACACCTCTTAAATATCTGGCTGGTCCAATTTAAAATGTCAGTAACATAGGTTGATAAATACAATAATCATTGATAAATTAAACTTCAGGGAATAGAAAGCCTTTTCTATTTCATACATTCTACTGAAATTATCTAGGCGCTTGTACAAACAATGGGTAATTTGATTTGTTTATATGATACTTTTTTTTAAATGAAGCAATTTTTTATTTATAAAGTAGAAATTTGAAAGTTAAATTTCATATAAATATAAATAAGTTTAATAAATGAAGTTCATGTGTTGATTTCTGTAATGAAAGGGAAACTGAGTCAAATAATTAACAATCTAAAAGCATTATCTTTTTTAAATTGTAAAATTAATCCAATTGTGCATTAAAGCATGCCTATAAATTTGGCTCTTCACTACTCTCAGACCCTGCTACGAATCCTGGGCACTCACAAACCACGCTGCACGAAATCTGCCTTAAACAGGTGTCTGGTTTATTCATTCGCCAGGTTCACAGGGATCAAAGCTGAGTTCAAGGATTGATAACACAAAGTCGGCGTTAGAGCTTCCAGGAAACAGCTCCGTTTAAATATGCGCGCCGTACAATTATCCAATCTCCACAGCCACTCCCTGCAGCCCGTTTCAACATCCAGACGTCTTAAAGGGCCCTATCCCGGCCGCGAGGTGACCGTCCGCCTACTGAAACCTAACACCCCCTCCACCGTGTATACATTATTCACGCCCCCCCTCCCTCTCGCAGCCCACAATCATGGTCTCCAGAACGCGACGGCCCATCTGGTGAGTTCTGCTGTAGTAATGATTCCCCATGGTGGCGAGCGGGGAACGGCTCGACAACTACACTGAACTGCAGGTTAGTAATTCACTCATAAATAAAGCAATATCATTACCATTTCTTGGTTCTTGAATATGTATTCTTTTTACTGAAAAAAATCACTCATAAGTTAACAAATACAAAAATGTACAAACACACAGGTGCATAAATGCAATGATACAATGGATTGCTGAAAATTGTGTGTTTTAACACTAGATTTCAGTGCAAAAATATACCCCTGGAGCCTCACAGAAAACACAGAGAAGCTCAAAACAACAGAAAGAAAGAAATTACATATGATTCAATTCTATCTTTGACAGTAGAAGTTTGGCAATGCACAGTGGTTGCTCAGATGTTAAACTGAATACAAAACAGTTTTTACAAAAAAAAAGAGGTTTAGCAAATAAAGATTTACATGGCTCATATAAAACATACATTTTGTAATGATAGTGTTCTATCCCTTAGCAATATTAGCTGACAGTGCTGATGGAAATGGGGAGCACTCTGTTGAAATTTCAGCTATTAATGTACACATTTTAAATGATTTTTTAAAACACCATAACAACACATGCGCTTGACAGTTATGTTTCCAACAATTACATTTACCATACAATAGCAGACTTACCTGATAAGAGCAACAGTGCACATTTAAAAGATATTCCACACTTTTAAAGGAAGGGCAAGAAAATAATTTTTTGGGGGAAAAAATCAATCCAGAACTAATTAAGAAGTGAAACTGACTCTTTCACACCAATCTTCAACAAGTGCATTCTTAGCAGAGGTAATTCAGAGGGTATAGTAGAAGGGTGCATAATCTATTTTTATAGAGAGTGTGTGTGTGTGTGTGTGTGTGTGTGTGTGTGTGTGTGTGTGTGTGTAGCACTGCCAAATAGATGTTTGGAAATGTCAAGGTGAATTAAGACAGATTGAAACACATTCTCAACCGAAGCACCATTAAATAAAATGTTAATTTCTACTAGCCTTCCAAGTTTAAAAAAAATACATATGAATTATTCACAACTGAAAATTATCAAAATGTAGAAGTCTTTATTGCTTCATGTGCCATTAAAAGAATAAAAGCTAAGTTATTCCCTCTGCAGCAACTGTAAAGGTACTATTATGAAACATTTTAAAGCCTTATCAGCAAATTCAAGAACAGACTTCCTGCCCTTTCATATCAGCTGGTAAGATGCACACATGCACACTTTCTCTCTCTTTCACGCACAAGCACACACTCGCCCCTTCATAACTCTTGAGATTCAAGAAAATGGGTCTGGTTAATCACCTCCACAACAATTGTATATGGGGGTCATATATCTACCAAACCCAAAATCTAAAAAAAAAAACCCACCACAACCCTATACAAGTTAAAGCAACTGAAGGCAACAATGCAATCAAAGAGATTAAAGTACTTTTCACATTAAACTCTGTCTATAAATATATATTAAAGAACAATTTGTTTTACCAGAGTAAATACCCCAGTTTTAAAAAGTCTGTACATGCTATATAAAGAGATGGACTGGTTCTAAACCAGAAAAAAACAAAACAAAGGCACAAACTTATTATGGTAGGTTAAAACAAAAACTAGAGAGAGATTATGGACCAACCAATTCTGCCTGATATTCACATTTTTAAAAACTAATCTCAATGCCCTTCATTCTTTTAATTAAGAGTAGGAGTCTGGATATATTTATCCCAGTACTTGTACTTGTGCAATGTTTTTCTGGTTAATAATCATACCCAAGAACTTCAACCTACAGTTTTAGTCTATGTTAGTTCAGTTTCATTTACACAATAAATATATCAAAATATTATTCATACACCCACCCACCCCAATTAAAGTTACAGAAATCACTATAGATTTTTCCAAAAACAGACTGAATGATTTGCAAACTTTAACCAAACAAAGTGGAAACTTGGTTAACTTTCTGGAGACTTTTTGTCCCTTACCAAGATGAAACAGGGAGATATTTTTTCTGATGTTTTGCTGTCGGTTTGGAATATGGGGACAAAATGCACTGGGTCACACACACACAAAAAAAACAAAAAAACAAAACCAACAACCCAGAAAGACTATGCATTTGGCCTTTTCACTTTCATGAATAAAATTCACTCTCCCAATGTCAGATTCCTCCTTTTACAATAAACACTGGTATTGTTCCCAAAACCACCAATGAACTGACAGTCTCAATCCCACTAACAACTGCTTAAATAGCCCTGAAAAGAATTACTTGCATGTCATCCTTATGTACTGAAGTGCTCACACAGTTGAGTGCTTACTTGAGTTATGCTAAGTTGTAAACCTTCAGCTTCAGTTTTGAACTGCATTTTTTAAAAAATAAAGGAAAGCAATTTATACAGCTTATCTACATCTATACTTCTTTAAGAAGTGATTGTGTGTATATATAGATATAGATATATATAGATATATATATATCTTTTTTCCTTCAAGCAAGTCAATTAGAAAACCAATGCAAACACAAATGCAAAAGAATGGTGTCACTGTTAAGTAGCAGTTCATCTCCAATAATGGTCATAGCTTACAGCAGGGGTGTCAAACAGGCAGCCCACGGGCTGGATGCCTCACGCGGAGGCCACACCCACCCCAGCTCCACAAAAGGAAAACACATCGCGATATGTCACATGATGGCAACGTGACGCTGCAAGTTTGACACCAGTTGCTTACAGGATAGTTTCCAGCACCGTAAGTCAAGAAACCAAGACTTTTCTTTCTTTCTTTCTTTCTTTTAAGCCAAACTGGTTTTATGAGCAGAAAAGCACATTCAATTTCTATTTGTTACTGGAGATTGCTTAAGGAAATGGAATGCTGGGACAAAAGCAGCAGGTCACACCACTGTTCTTTTTAAAAAGAAATCAAAAAGCAAGTTAAATCTGAACTCGCTGACAGTGTGAATATGTCTACAGTCTGATGATCTCTGTGCGTATTTTTGAAAATTATTCTTCAAAACACTGTGATCCTTCATTAGACACAAGATTATTCTTGTCCAGGAGACATCTAAAAAACCATCTCTTGACATTCTCTTCTCATATTTTCTTAGTATTCACTCACCAGAGCCAGCTCTGGTGATAGATTGACAGTTATATTTTTATACAAAGAATCATATGTAATATTTGGAAAATAGTTCAAATTATTGAGGCCATCCAATTCTTGCCTCTCTTTGGACTTCCTCAACAGTGCATATCTATTGAAAAAGAAAGAGAGTGAAAACATTAAAACCAATATTGTTCCAAAATATAACATAAAATACTATTAATATGACTACATTATGAATATCAATAGTTTCTTAATTTATTAAAAAATATCAGCCTGTGCAGCCTACAGCCATCAAAAGTCCATTCATGTCCAATTTAAAAGGTCTGAGTTCTAGGCAGAACACCGATTCACTCGGATTCTAAAACTTTCCATCCTACTCCTAACTTCATTTTGTATTTATATTAGTTTATATACATAGTACATACGTATGTACTTATATAAAGTATGAACATAGGTAATTGGATTAAGTGAGGGAGCTATAGATAAATTAACCATGGGTAGGGACATCATGTGAACACAATCATTTCTCAGAGCTGGATATCTAAAGTAGAATAATGGATTTCTATTGAAATGCTCAGATCCTGATAAATAAATATTGCAAAGAAAATATATGTAAGCAACACCAAAATATAAACTTAATAGACAAAAATGAAAGCATTGCAAACTATAAAAAAGCTTTGTTTTAAATTGTCCAGTTCTTTTCTTCCACTTCATTTAATTTTCTAATATTGCACACAAAAGCATCCATTTCCAACATGTTGCCCAAGATCTGCTCCGACCAATTCTGATGAGAAACAAAAACTATTGCTTCAGTTTTCCTTTTCCTTTTCTCATCATAAATCTCATCCTGAATCATAAATTTCCCTTTTTAAAAATTCTATTTTCATTTTATATAATCAACATGCTCAATGAATGGAAATCACTTCTGAACATGGATTCAAAGAATTGCTTTGTTTGCTAAAATTCATCCTTTATATAGATTTCAGACATTTTTATAAATCTATATAAGAATGAAAACTTTTTTCTGTCACTTTCATTTTCTTACATTCACGAGAAAGGATGAAGCACAAATACTTAATTTCAAAATAGCAGAGTTGGAAGGGACCTTGTAGGTCATCTAGTCCAACCCCCTGCCCAAGCAGGAAAGCTTACATCATTTCTAACAGATGGCAGTCTCTTCTTGAAAGCTTCCATTGATGAAGCTCCCACAACTTCTGAAGGCAACTTCTGTTCCATTGTTTAGTTGTTCTCACTGTCAGAAAATGTCCCCTTATTTCTAGGTTGAATCTCTCCTTGATCAGTTTCCATCCATTAAATTAATAATTAAAAGTTCTATGTATGGACAAAGTAGTATCTATGGATACTATCAGTTTTGAGGTTATGTTATAGAAAATTAAGCCTTCTGTTTTCTGTATTCATCTTTTCTATCATTTATATTTCCTACCATGAGCATGTCCACACAAATGAGTTACAGTTCAAAACATTATTAAGCAAAAGCAATATAAGCAGAAGGATGGACTGGTAGTTATCAGTGGGTCCAAATCAACAGCAATGAACAAAGCAAGATAAAAATATGCTGCCAGTTTAAAGAAATTTAAAATCATTTTGAAAAATGACTCCAAATTTATAAGAAATCTTACATTAAACTACAGAAAGTACAACATTGAATGATTTTTCAGATGCATAGGTAGGCTGTTACAAAATAGTTCCTGATAGTCCTCTTTGTTCCATAACACTTGACATTTTTATATATAGTCAGTGACCTTTTTATACATTTACTGCTTGTTAAAGTATGAGATACTAAAGCTGAGAACTCTCTCTTCTCAAATATAATTGGGAGTGTGTTCATGTGTACGTAATACATGTGGCATGCACACACACACACACATGCAGACACACACAGCTTCCCCTAGTTCTTGTTCCATAACCTGAAGCTACAATATATGGCATAATTTCATACCAGAGATCCCTAGCTGACGGGGATATAACATGTCACCCCTTTAGCATCAAAACTTAACCAGAAGAACAAAAACAGGTAATGACATGTGTGTGGCATAAATGTTCATAATCCCATAATTCCTGAAGGTGCAATTTCCCCCTCCATCTCCTTCAGTAAGAGCAACGGGAAATACGTTGCTGAGATAGAAGTCCCTTTAGTGAGCTCTTTGTCAATTAAATCATTTAATGCTCTATCACTTGCAAATTACAGTCTACATTTCTCTCTTGGACTGGCTTGCTTTTACTTGCTAGCAGCTGGAACTGAAACAAGTAACAGTTTTATAACAGAACAAGGAGAATGGGAAAAAAGAGAAGAGGGAGTGTGAGAATTCAGGTGCACGGTCTTTGAATAAATCAACTAAGCAACTAAAAACTGAGGATTACTTCAAAACAAGAAGGCAACAATTGTAATCCACAGGGGAAAGCATTTTAAAGAGTTGAAAACAACTCTTTAAAATGCAAGTTTCCCCTAAAGATGGTACTCTAGAAACTTTCCTTTAAAACTGTTTAAATGTTTAAAGTTGAAATGAAGTAGTAATTCATGACTTAATGGACCCTAAATAGGCTTTGGCCCAAAGCAATGATTTTTTTTAACTAAATCAGCTCGGGATATTGAAGCTTTCCTTTCCACACAAGCATCAATGTCCCACAAACACTTGAGGCTAGGGAGAAAACCACCAAATTATAGCTGCTCTAATTCCCAGTTAAACACAATGACTATACAGTAACTTCAATAGCAAAGTAAAGGCTAAGAGAAAAACGGGAAGAAACATTTCAAAAAATGGAATGGTTGACTGGAAAGAAGAAAAGATCAGAAAGCAGAACATTGTATACTATAAACTCATTTTGTGCTTCAAAATATGAAATCAGTATTTTACATTAAAACAGACCTATAGAAATCTCTATATGCTTGATACATAAAAAGGCCACTTTAAAAGATATAGCATTCAGTACCAAGAATCTCATTGCAATTCATTTTCAAGGTTATTACAATTCAGTACTGATCTGCATGAGAAATCTTGATGCAAAATTTACTATGAGCACAAACTTTTCATACAACCATATGTAAATGAATATAAAGATAAGTAAGATAAAGTTATGGCATCATTTTTCAGCCTATTTCAATGGCCAAAACTACAACTCAAGCCAGAACTGGGAAAATGTCTGGACTACAGGTACTCAGTGTCTTATGACCTTTCATTTAATGATCATTTGATGTTTTGAGAGTGCTAAAAAGAAGGGACATATGACTGGTCCTCACATTTACAACCATCTCAATGTTCCCATAGTCGCACAATCAAAATTCGGGCATTTGGCAACTGTATCTGCAACCTTCCCAGAAGGCTTTTGATAAGCAAAGATGGAAGCTGTTTTGCTCATGTAATTTGCTTAATGACTGTTGCAAAAAAGTTGTAAAATTGCATTAAGTGCAATTCACTTAATGAATGCATCACTTCCGGTTCTAATTTTGGTCATAAGTCAAGGACTACGTGTATATCTTTGAAAGTGGAGGTCACAAAGACATTAGGTTTGCCAACTAAAGAGAAAGAGGATCTTAAAATTTTTGCTGAAATCTGCCTGAGAATAATCCATGTCTGTGCTTTTCCAGTAGAAACATCTGAACACTTGGCAAGGCTTTCAATAATTAGGAAATTGCTGGGGACAAATATGTCTTGACTGGAAAAACAAGGAGCACTGAATTAGTTTGTGACATAAAATAATCTGAACTACCCCACAAACATATATACTTAGTTCTATTTTAGAATCATGTTAAACTCAAATTGAAATAGTCTTATTAATTAATTAATTAATTAATTAATTAATTAATTAATTAAATTTATATACCGCCCTACTCCGGAGGGACTCAGGGCGGTGAACAGCGAAAGATAAAAATACATGTAATACAAACGTTAAAAACCAATTAAAATATATTAAATACTCTGGTCCCAGATAATTTAAGACATCCCAGTTTAAAACAAAATTAAAAGCAATATAAAGGGAAAGTTAGGCCAGGCCGGCCTGCTGAAACAAAAATGTTTTGAGGGCACAGCGGAAAGTGCACAGATCCGGGATCCTCTGTATCTCTGGGGGGAGCTCGTTCCAGATGGTGGGTGCCCCCACAGAAAAGGCTCTCCCCCTGGGGGCCACCAGTCGACACTGTTTGGCTGACGGCACCCTGAGAAGACCCTTTCTATGTGAGCGTACTGGGCGGTGAGAGGCTATGATGATGAAAAAAATCATAAAGAAAAGCAACACAATGACTTGGGGTTACAAAGTAAAGATCCATAGGACTTTTTTAAATGAAGGACTTAATTGGCTCAACCATCTAATTGGTGAATGCAGACAATAGCTTCTCTATATTGTTTAAGAAATACACTGGAGGTTTTAGACTGTTTAACTTCATCATACCTTTTAAGGTGCAGAGTCTTAGCATTTAGAATGACATCCACTCAAATCTAATGGACAGGAAAATCTGCATATATACAATATTTTTAAGAACTTGCCTTCCTAAGAATTGAACTTCCCCTCTATGATGATGGGGAATTGACTTGTATTTCCCTGTATCTCCTTCTGGCCGAGTAACCAAGTAGCCTGCATAGTGAACCCTGGAAAAGAAAGGGAATCATTAAATTGCTTTGAATTTAGTATTTGCCAACACTAATCATTTGAGCAAACATATCAAAATTATTCATAAGAAAGCATCCCAACATATCTCCTAAATTAGCTCATTTACACACTTTTTCATTTGAATTAGTTGTGTGGCAGCCTGCTATTATATTCCAGTTAGAAAATGGAATAAGCTGTTTATTTACTGATAACTATGAAGCTATGGGACATAGCTACAACAAGTATTCTAATCTCTTCTTAAAAACTTCCAGTGTTGGAGCATTTACAACTTCTGAAGGCAAGTTGTTCCACTGATTAATTGTTCCAACTGTCAGGAAATTTCTCCTTAGTTCTAGGTTGCTTCTCTCCTTGATTAGTTTCCACCCATTGCTTCTTGTCCTGCCTTCAGCTGCATAGTTTGAGTCCCTCTTCTTTGTGGCAACCCCCGAGATATTGTTATCTGTTATGACGTCTCCCCTAGACCTTCTTTTCATAAGAATAGACATATATAGTTCCAGCAACCATTCTTTATATGTTTTATCCTTGAGTCCCCTAATCATCTTTGTTGCTCTTCTCTGCACTCTTTCTAGAGAATCAACATCTTTTTTCATTGTGGCAACCAAAATTGGATGCAGTATTCCAACTGTGGACTTACCAAGGCATTATAAAGTGATATTAAAACTTCACGTGATCTTGATTCTATCCTTCTATTTATTCAGCAAAGAACTGTGTTGGCTTTTTTGGCACCTGCTGTATACTGCTGGCTCATATTTAAATGATTGTCCACTAGGACTCCAAGATCCTTCTCAGAGTCACCACTATTGAGCAAGGTACCAGATATACTGTACCTGTGCATTTTGTTTTTCTTGCCTAAATGTAAAACCTTATTTTTTTCACCATTGAATTTCATTTTGTTAGATAGTGCCCAATGTTCAAGTATGTCAAGATCCTTCTGTATCTTGAGCCTATCTTCTGGAGTGTTAGCTATTCCTGCTAGCTTGGTTTCATCTGCAAATTTGATGAATTCCACATCTATCCCCTCGTCCAAATCATTGATGAATATGTTGAAGAGTACTGGGCCTAAAACAGAGCCCTGGGGTATCCCATTGCATACTTCCCTCCATGTAGATGCAGTTCCATTCAGGACTACACGTTGAGTGCGGTTGGTCAGCCAGTTATGAATCCATCTGGTGGTGATGCTGTCTAACGCACATTTTTCTATTTTATCAAGTAGTAGGTTATGGTCTACTTTATCAAATGCCTTACTGAAGTCCAAGTAAATTATGTTGACAGCATTCCTCTGGTATTGTTGTTATGTACTTCTAAAAACAGCTTATCTAATAAAGTAAATTAACTATACCCAGGAAATAAACAGAACTTCATGTTTCAACTTAAATCATAAAGGTGGAAGATGAAGTAGCCTTTGTTTATTTTTTATTATTTATTTATTAAACTTATATGCCACCCATCTTGCCTAGGTGGCTTACAATCAATAAAAGCAAAAATATGAAATGTTAAAACAATAAATGGTAATACTAAATTGATTTAAAATTAACAATGATGGAAAGGAAGGCTAACTTTGTATCAGTGATAATGACATGGCTGGAGAGGTGGGCATTGTCTAGATGTTATGTTGTAAGAGTGGCAACTGCCAAAACAGGGCTGACTAGCATAAAAAGAAAATAGGGAAGACTTTCAGGCAGTTGGTATTGCTAAGATGAGTATATAATGCAAGATGTAACCAAGGATGCAAATTTTCTGAAAAAACTGACAAAGTCACTCCTTTTTAATTTTATATTGTAATTCTTTTTGTTCACATGTTTCGTGGAATTTGAAACTAAATCATGGAGCCCGGTCAATTGGAATTTACATGCAAACCACCCTCTCCATTTCCTGCACAATGTACCTGTTCCAAAGGTCGTCATCCTCTCCACCCCAGCCCCAGAATGCATTTGCAAAGCCGTTGATTTTTTTGAACTGTTTCACTGTCAAGCCACTCACTCCACCAAAAAATTCAGCATATGGAAGGCTACAGATACATGAAAATAAAAATGTCAGTCAAGTTTGAAATTAATACAGTTTTTAGTGGTCACAGCAAGTATGTGGTTGTAGCTTGTCTCAATTAGTTTTAGTTACAGTAGTATCTGCTTCTAATTAATTTTCTACTTTTAGCATTAAACTCACTAGGGAATTACACTTACTTACATATACATGTACTTATCCAACTTAGTAGCAAAATGTCTTGGCATCTGTCCACATCCATAATAGTTACGATCATTCTCAGGTATATGGTCCACATCGTGAAAGATGAAACAGTCCCAGTCCAAGTCCTTCATAGCTTCCCGAAAGCCAACATTAAAGAGCATAGCACGATTAAAGGGCTGATTACCTGCCTAGAAGAAAAGCCCAGTATATAAAAAAAATAACATTTACTTTCATACACAAGTCAACCTGAGTTCCAATGCTTTAGGTGGATGAATAGGTGCATTTAGTTGCTTCATATCTTACAGTATGGTAAGTTTTCTTTTTCAAAGACACAAAGATTTTTCTTTCAAATTTTGCCTAAGAAACTGTTGTTTCATTAGATTGACATGTCTGACATATCAGCAGATTAAGGCCTGCAGATAAGATATATGTGGGATTGTAGGATCACCCTAAAGCCAAACTATAAATACCAAAAAAGACACACATTGTTGCCAGGGTAATTCTTGAAAAATAGGAGTTAAACACATTCCTAGAAACACAGTGATAACATGCCGATCTAGATATATAGGCTGAATTTGATTAACACTTAAATATAAATGCAATGCAAAATTTATATTTCACTTTTGTCCAGTGATAGCCCAACCTAGTCTGTAGAAGGAGCTACAACACCTTTTGATACAAGTATAAGGATCCCACTTCTTAAATGGATCTTACACAGATGTATTATAGGCAATTGTACACATACACACAAAACAAGCATGCAAACATTGTAAGAGTTTCATCAAGGAAAAGAGTGACAATTCAAATCTGTTTGGGAAACTTTGTACATAGTTGAGATATATTGGGGTATATTGAGTCAATTGAAGCTATATGTCTTAGTAACTACCAAAGTTTTGATTTAGATAGCCTTAGGTTTTAACTACAAATCAACAAACAAAACACACAGACACACACAGACACACACACACACACACACACACACACACACGGAAGTCTTCCATCAGTTCAAATTTGAAACAATGCTCTGAACATTTGAGATATAATATCACTGAGCAAAAACTCTTGTGAGTATATCTTTCTTACAGGGTTTTTGGAGCCCTGATGGCAGAGTGGTTAGAATGCAGTATTGCAGGCCAACTCTGCTCACAGCCTGGAATTCAATCCCATTGGGCTCAAGGTTGACCTTCCATCTTCCGAGGTTGGTAAAATGAGAACCCAGATTGTTGGGGGCAATATGCTGACATTTGTAAACCACTCAGAGAGTGTTGTAAAGCACTTTGGGGCGGTATATGTCTAAGTTGTATTGCTATTATACAACAGATCAGCATTGCAAATCCTTAAAAGTTTTATTTTATAAGTTTAAATAAAACAGTTCCTTGAAGATGTTTTTTAAAGCAATATGGCCTCCTTGCTTCTAAAAACAAAAAGCTTACATCATTTCATTTCTCTCCTGAAGCCTCCTCTAGCAGTCCCAGTAACTGGAAGAATATTTTATATTTGCACTCTGCATGGGTAGAAGTTTCTGGCTAGGGGAACAGTCAGCCAAGGCTTCAGGATGACATGAGTTGCCTCGTTAAAAGAATTACTTCAGTATTTGATTTGATGACAAAATGTTATCAAAACAAAGTAGTCTTCAGAAATCTAGAAATTAACCTTGGAAACAAAAAAAAATGCAAACTTACTTGCTCAATGACATAAAATGCAAATTGCAAACGTTGGTGTTGCAGCATTGGAATAAGATGTTTAAATAGAACCGGCAAATGTTCAAAACGATTGCGGAATGGGATTAGAATAGCCACCTACAAGGAAAAAGATCATGAGCTCTTCTAAGATCTTGCAAGCAACCTAAGCTATCAATACTAGATAAGCAAAGATGTAAACCTCACATGGACATTATTTTTGTAAGTAAAATCCTTAAATCCTTAAGAGTGGGAACTGGCTTGCCTAAATGTTCTTTCCTTGCAAAATTATGTTCGAATATGTTACAATAAAATTCAAATTAATTTATTTTAGCCTAATAAGATTCCAAAGACTAAGCGCAGGTATCAACACTTCTGATTTAGAGGTTAAATGGACTCATCATCTCAGTCCTTGTAAACAAATCACATTGCCTGCTAATACTAAATATTAGATTATAATTAATAACTTTAAAGTGGTGGCTTCAGGTTTGGTTCTTGAACTTGCATTACATTAAAATATCATACTGAACTCTGGTTCTTCAAGACAGATTCCTAATTTTATTTTTAATATTCCTACGATCAGTTCTTGAAGTGAGATTTCCAAAGTGGAGAAATGCTTTGCTAGTGCTAGAAACTCTGCTTGCAACTTGTGTGCGAGACACACTAACAATATTAGCTAGCTGAGTAATAAAATGTTTGCAAGCAAACAACTAAGCTCAGAAAGCACTAAGAACTCTACTGTACAAATATTCTCTTCTATTATATTAAAACAGCTACCAAAATAAGAACCCCTGAATTATAAGGCCAGCATCTTATATAAAAATATTTCAAAAGAAAAATGTAAGCCCTTTATATTGCACATAACAAACTCAGGATTTGAGATGGTATAGCATTATTATTTTCAACATTCCCTTTCTGAAGCTTACTTTCCAGCGAGGCAAGCAGTCACTAGGCTTCCAGTGGCCTCCTAATTTGATAGTAGGGTCTTGAGAAAAAAACTGGTGGATCTCATCCATACTGATTTCACTCATATTTACATCAATTGGCCCCTCTGTGTATGTAAAAAAGAGAAAATGAGAAGCAGGAAGCACAGCTCAAAAAATACATTTTGCAATATCTCACCATATTATGCATTTTGTTGTTATACTACTGTTATTGTTATCTTGCAATCAGTTGTAATTTTCAGAATTAACTCCCCCCCCTTTACTATTTTAATCAAAGTTCTAAGCCAATAAATTTACCTAAACCTACAGATTATCAGGAGATATCATGCCCTTGCAAATAAAATTTGAAGGATTACTTACTACTTCAGCTTCAACCGCAACAATACACAAGCAAATAATAGATACAAACTCAAGGTAAACTGTTCCAAACTCGATTGCAGAAAATATTTCTTCAGTAACAGAGTGGTCAATGCCTGGAATGCACTACCTGACTATGTGGCTTCTTCCCCAAACCCCGAAACTTTAACCTTAAACTGTCTACTGTTGACCTCACCCTATTCCTAAGAGGTCTGTAAGGGGTGTGCATAAGTGCACCAGCATGCCTACAGTCCCTGTCCTAATGTCCCTTTTTACTTACTCTTTTCATGTATTCAAATTACGTTTATACTTTTACCTGTTAACTTATATATGCTTGAAAAATAAACTTATGATTATGATTATCGTAGATTATTTATGGTACAAGAATTAGATAATATAAGAAATAGAAGCCTCTTACATTCAAGGAGTACTTGGGTACTACAGATAGTCTCCATGTTACAATTGTAATGGAGCCTGCCTATTACAGTAATAGGTCAATGACATCGTTAAGCAAGGCACATGCTCTTGCTCAATGATTGCTGGCCTTGCCTTCCGAGGAGCAGGTGATTACATGGATCTTCAAAGAAAGGGACAATATGTGCAGAACTGGGCCAGAGAAAAAAAACTCGCATACCAATGATCAGAGCTTTTTTTCTCTGGCCCAGAATGCTGGCTCTCCTCCCTGCCATGTGCTAGAAAGTTAAAAAGTCTCAGGGCAGGGAGAGGAGGCGGTGTGCTGTATGGAGAAGCAAAACACTCCCAAGCTTCATTTCTCCATGCAGTGCACTGTTGTCCAAAGAAATGAAGTGGCTTGCAACCTTTCTGGATGGTTTCCCTGTTGGCTTTCTGAGGAAGCCAGCACAGAAGATTGCAAACGGTGGTCACATGATTGTGGAGAGCATGGTAACTTGTTGTAAGTGGTTTGCCAAGAGCCCAGATCATAATCATTTGATCATGGAGGTGATGCAACAGCCATAACTTTGAGCATCGGTCAAAAGTCTCGAATAGAATAGAATAGAATAGAATAGAATAGAATAGAATAGAATAGAATAGAATAGAATAGAATAGAATAGAATAGAATAGAACAGAACAGAACAGAACAGAACAGAATTCTTTATTGGCCAAGTGTGATTGGACAGATAACAAAGCTCTCAGCTCATGCACTATTTAGCACCATTGTAATTTTTTGTTCAGGTTGCTGAACAAATGGTTATTAAGTTGATGATTACTGTGTGTACTGTATACTTCATTTGGAAAAACAACCAAATACAAGCTGTTACTTCCAGATGAGTAACATGTAACAGCATCGCACTCTTATTGTAGTGCTGAGTATGAAGAAAGGAAGCATATAAACTCCACATAAAACAAATTTGTGTACTTGGATTTGCCAAACTTGCTGGACAGCAATTGCTACTTATGATGAGTGACAGTAATTTTACTAGGACTCATTATCCTTCACCGATATAATCATGCTCACCAAGACAAATTTATTCCCAAATTTAGAACACAGAAACTCAGTAAACACTACTGAAGCATGAATCTTTCAAGTATGTGCACTTATAATGCTTCCTTGGATATACCAGCCTTTAGAAACAGTCGACGGAACTCAACATTTTAGGATAATTCTGTTTAAGGTTCAGGCCATATGCTTCAGGCAATTAGAGACAGTCCTCAATTAATGATGGTAACTGGGACTGGAATTTCTGTCACTAAGCAATGTGGCACATAGAGCAACAACACATAACCGCACTGCTAAACAATGGAAATTTTAGCATTTTTGATTGTCATTTTTAAGCAAATCCAGTGCCAGTCTTAAGTGCAAAGTCACATGGTTGCCACTTGTGACACCTGCAGGCCTCCCCATTGACTTTGCTTGTAGAAAGTCAACAAAGGTTACAAATGGTGATCACATGACTGCAGGGACATTAATCATCATAAACAATGGCAGCCAGTCCTATGTGTGGTCTACCTGCAATGCCTGAAATGTATGGCCTGAACCTTGACATAAATTTGAACAGTCATTAACAAACAGATATTAAGCTTGAATGACCTATATTCTTTTAGGTGTTCCTGTATCACCTTTATGAATATCTAAGAAGAGTCTCCATGTGCCAATAGAGGATAATAAAACATAAAACAATAAAAGGGGGTGAAAATTTAGGTGCGTCTTATACACCGAATGTAGCCCTGCCTACCCACTGGCCCCCACCCTTTGGCCTGCGCCTCGCAGCAGTTACCTCCTTGCAAGCAAACAGCAAGAAAATACAGCTCCTTTCAGCTTCGGCATAGGCTAATTAGCACAAGTTGATTAGATCGGCCTCCCGACTCTCAGCTGATTTGCTATCAGCTGTTTTGTGCAGGGTTAGGGTTAGGGTTATTTTTTTAAAAAAATAGATGAGGAATAAATATGGCAAAAAGGAAATATAAAAATTAAACACTGTTTAAATTTGTGAACCAGCCAAATACTCTGTTCAAAGAAAATACATTGTATGTTTGTATGTGTGTTTGTCTACAAAATAAAAAAAAACTTTAAAAAAAAAAAGAAAACCAAAAAAGGTGCGTCTTATACTCCAAAAAATACGGTACTTTTCAATATGAGAGTAGTTCCAATCTATACATGATAAATAATGTGGTAAAGAGTCTCTATTTTTCCCTCATCCCAGAGTTGAGAAAATCTGGACATGAATGAACTAAGCAGATTTTATTAATAGATTATTCATTAATAAACAAAATGATGTCTGGACCATGTAAAGCCATGAAGGGATGCTTTGCTCAAGAAATATTCAATGGAACGTCCTCTTTGAATCTATTTTGCAAAGCAATAGAACCTGCTCCCTTTCTATGAACAAAATAATTATCTTTCTTCACTTGGTGCCAATTCAATGGTTTATTTAGCATTTCAAGAAGTGGCTTCTGTACAGTCTGGAGGCATTAGCTGAAGCCTTGATGCACTATAAAGCAATTTAAGGAAGTAAGCAGTGGTTTCTTCCATGATATAAATTTAGTTCAGCAATCTACTTACACATGAATAATTAATTCTAGGTTAAACAAATTTAATTCAGATTCAATTAAAAATGCAAAATATATGGAGCAACACTGAAATAAATAAGGTTTCAGAGAATTTATTTCTGGCTGGAATATGACTTTATATATGTGAACATATAACTAGAAAGGGAGAAGAGTTATTATGTAAATCGTAATAAAACTTACTCATAGAAGGAAGCCTCTCAGGGCAAGTATGATTTGGAAAATAAGTAAAATCTTCAGGAAGGAAAGTTGTTGTTTGCAGAAAGTTTTCACTGTGATTCAAATCAAGAGGATAATCTGATGAAAGAGTGAGAAAACAAGACTGCCATTCAAAAGTATTTCATTATTTACTATTGCTAGCCAAGTCATTCAGTTTATTTCTTAATATCTTTAGTATTATGCAACATGAACAATAACTTTCATGATTTTATCAATAGGAAATGAAATTTTCTCCCAAAAAAAATAAAGAAAAGAAATTCCAGAGTTAATGCATTAAATATCTATAAAGCCAGTAAAACACTGATAGTTGCATCAATACATAATTTTGTTTATTTTATTCATTTGATGAATTCCTAATGTTTATTTTAGGACTTGCCATGTTGTGCTCATATTTTATATGTCAGCAGCACCATGAAAGCAACATTTGGATTTTATTATGTAAAATGGAAAGCAGAAGCAGACAGAATTATGGAAACCAGGGTGGATTTGATTTAAATCAAGTTGATTTAAATCACAATTTAAATCATGATTTAAATCACTAGTAAAAAGGCTTGATTTAAATCAACTCGATTTAAATCATAATTTTTAAAGAGCAGCTGACATCTCTTTTCTGGCAGCGGCTCCTCCTCTGACCCGCTGTTGACTCACCAACAGTCCCAATATTGCAGAATATACAGCCTCATGCTACATAACTAAGGTCCATTTCATGCTGATTAAGCTAAATTATTAATGTATCTTAAATAGAAAACTATCTTTAGATAGATTTTTACTCCCAAAGCATTTTATTAAAATAAATTTGATTAAAAATAAAAAAAATCCGATTTAAATAAAAAAAATCTGTTTTTTTTTATTTTTTTTTTAAAAAACATTGATTTTTATCCACCCTGATGGAAACCTAATTCATCCGAAGTATCTGATAGTAGCTACAATATTAACTGACCTACCTCTTTTGATAAAGAAGACATTCTCCTTTCAAACCAGATTTTTATTAAGAAAAAGTATTTTAGTTCATTAATATAGCACCTGCACAATGTATTTAATCCCTGATGTTTCCAAATAGGGCTGGAAAAAACTCTAACATCTTGGACAGGCACTGTACAGTATTCTGAACTAGACAAAATTATCAAACATAATAAGACCATTTCTTGATGTTTCTGACTACATGTTTAAAAGAGTCTGTAATGCATCAACACAAATGAAAGTCAAACAAATAATCTACCAACTCTCGCATTAGCTACAGTATACTTTTAAGACCTTAACTCTAATTTAAGAGGAACAGGTTGATCCTCAGGATCAACGGCACATTTTCCCACTTCTAATATCCATTGATTAGATATTTAATCTGGGCCCATTTCAATTTATATGTTACAATATATTTTTATGATTAATTTATTTCATTTTCAATAGCATACACCAATTACTTTGCAAGACCCTGTGCAAGTAAAACATAAAAATAATATCATAACCAAACCAGTTATCAAATCAAAACTAAGAGGGATGTTTATCTTTTCAACAACTTCAATCTATCTGCTGAAGAGCAAACAAAACAGAATGGTCTTCACTTGCTTCCAAAACATAAAATCCTCTTCACTTCAGAAGGAAGAGAATTCCAATGATCCAGGAAAGACTGGCTCTATGTTGTTGACAAATGTGAACAAATTTTCCAGCTAGCTGCAGTTATTTACATAACTGTTTTTAAAATGCCCTATGACGTAAAATGCCTTATGTTTCCTAGCACTGAAGATGAATATTTTTTGTTCTAACCTAACATATCAAATCTATGAAGACATGCAGACTAAAGTACAATAAAAATATTCTAATTATTTTTTTTCCAAAATTTCGATTGTCCTTTATTTTTTCAACAAGGTCACAGTGTTAAAGAGTTTAGCTATCAGAATGTGTAATAATTGCAGCAGCGTGCTCATATTTCACCGTGAAGGAGGCCAACATGAGACTGAAATTACACAATACAAGGCACTCCATTAGTATCTATATTACCAAGGTTATTGTGCTTACAAGGTTATTGTGCTACCATCATATATTCTTATCAATAACAAACCACTAATTCCTTTTTTTCTGCTTATCTTAATTTTTATAGCAACTACACTTTGTACAGATCTGAAGAATGCATATTTAGACAACTAGAATTTCAACTCGTGAATTTAATTTAATTTAATTTTTTCAAACACGATCAAAGCGACCAGCGTCCCAGCCGGGAAACGCCAAAGCCGTGCAGCGCTGATTTTGTTGTATTTCTTTAAAAAAACTATCAAAGACAGCTGGCGTCCCAGCCGGGAAGCGCTGAAGCCGTGCAGGGCTTCTTTGTATCTATTTTTAAAAAAACGCAACCCTCCGAATTAAATTTCAGCTGAAATCTTTAACTTTTAAGGCAAAATTGACAGTTTGTATCTAAGAACAAAAGGCACACCAGTCTAATCACCTGTGACTGAGTGAAAAGACTGGACATGCGCAGATGGAAGGGGCGTGACCAGGCTGTAGAGGAAGTTTGAATGGCACTCAGTCAGTCCGATGACGGTGGAACCTTCCCAATCGGTGGAATATCGGAGCAGCGAGGGAGGAAAATGCTCATTTTTTAATTTTATCATTTCACTTCTAATAAAACTATTGTGGCTTTCTTATAAATGAGTCTGTTAATGTTCATGTGACAATATGCTGATTTTCATGAGAAAATTACAGGCAAAAATAAAGAAGATTGTGAATGAGTTCAGAGGCTGCATAGCCCCTCTAAATACAATGAGATACTAAGGCATACAATAAGGCATTTGATAAAGTAGACCATAACCTCTACTAGATAAAATAGAAAAATGTGGGTTAGACAGCATCACTACCAGATGGATTTGTAACTGGCTGACCAACGGCACTCAATAGTCCTCAATGGAACTGCATCTTCATGGAGGGAAGTATGCAGTGGAGTACCCCAAGGCTCTGTTTTAGGCCCAGTACTCTTCAACATCTTCATCAATGGCTTGGATGAGGAGATAGATGGGGAGCTCATCAAATAGCCAACACTCTGGAAGATTGGCTTAAGATACAGAAGGATCTTGAGTGACTTGAACATTGGGCACTATCTAACAAAATGAAATTCAGTGATGAAAAATGTAAGGTTCTACATTTAGGCAAGAAAAACAAAATGCGCAGGTACCGTATATGTGGTACCTTGCTTAATAACAGTAATTGTGAGAGGGATCTTGAAGTCCTAGTGGACAACAATTTAAATATGAGCCAGCATTGTACAGCAGCTGCCAAAAAAGTTAACAGTTCTAGGCAGCATAAACAGAGGGATAGAATCAAGATCACGTGAAGTGTTAATATCACTGTATAATGCCTTGGTAAGGCCACACTTGGAATACTGCAACCAGTTTTGGTCTCCATGATGTAAAAAAGATGTTGATTCTCTAGAAAGAATGCAGAGAAGACCAACAAAAATGATTAGGGGACTGGAGGCTATAACATATGAAGAACAGTTGCAGGAACTGGGTATGTCTAGTTTAATGAAAAGAAGGACCAGGGGAGACATGGTAGCAGTGTTTCAATATCTGCCACAAAGAAGAGGGAGTCAAGCTATTCTCCGAAACATCTGCAGGCAGGACAAGAAGCAATGGGTGGAAACTATTCAAGGAGAGAAGCAACTTAGAACTAAGGAGAAATTTACTGACAGTTAGAACAATTAACCAGTGGAACAACTTGCCTCCTGAAGTTGTGAATTCTCCAACATTGGAAGTTTTAAAAAAGAGATTGGACAACCATTTGTCTGAAATGGTATAGGGTTTCCTGACTGAGCAGTGGGTTGACTTAGAAGACCTCCAAGGTCCCTTCCAACTATTCTATTCCTATTCCTATTCTATTCTGTCCAGAGTAAATATATGAGATATAAATTCAAATCTCCAATTATTTTTTTTTGGTGAATTAACTGCTATAAAGCCTTAAATTAATTTCAAAGTTGTCTAAGGTAAACGTAAAATAATTAAGAACTGCAAAATTCTTTATGTATTGTAAAATTATTAGGAAGGAAAGAATGGAGAATAAATTAAAATAAAAGCGGTGAAGACCTAGCTTTTCCGGCAGGCCTGGGGCCGTTGATCTCGCTCTTGTGATCTGACGAGATCTGGCCATGAATGGCGTGAATGAGTTTTTAATGTTTTTAATTTTTCAATGTTTTTTTAATAATTATTTTTTAAAATGTATTGTGAGCCGCCCTGAGTCTTCGGAGAGGGGTGGCATATAAATTTAATTAATTAATTTAAATTAAATTAAAATTATTTTGCTGGTACTATTGTATTATCAGCAGTAAAAGCAGCAAAAGTACATAAATTAAGATGCTCTTTCCATAGATACCTTAAAACCTTTCTTTCATATAGGATAGGATAGGATAGGATAGGATAGGATAGGATAGGATAGGATAAGATAGGATAGGATAGGATAGGATAGGGATAGGGATAGGGATAAGGATAGGGATAGGGATAGGGATAGGGATAGGGATAGGGATAGGGATAGGATAGGATAGAATTTTATTGGCCAAGTGTGATTGGACACACAAGGAATTTGTTTTGGTGCATATGCTCTCAGTGTACATAAAAAGATACATTCGTCAAGAATCATAAGGTACAACACTTAATGATAGTCATAGGGTACAAATAAACAATCAGGAAACAATATCAATATAAATCATAAGGATAAAAGCAACAAAATTACAGGCATACAGTCATAAGTGGAAGGAGATGGGTGATGGGAATGATGAGAAGATTAATAGTAGTGCAGACTTAGTAAATAGTTCGACAGTGTTGAGGGAATTATTTGTTTAGCAGAATGATGGCATTTGGGAAAAAACTGTTCTGGTGTCTAGTTGTTCTGGTGTGCAGTGCTCTATAGCGTTGTTTTGAGGGTAGGAGTTGAAATAGTTTATGTCCAGGATGCGAGAGGTCTGTAAATATTTTCACAGCCCTCTTTTTGACTTGTGCAGTATACAGGTCCTCAATGGAAGGCAGGTTGGTAGCAATATAGAAACTGTGACTGCGCCCTTAATGTAAGTTTTATCATTTTAAATTTCAGCTGGAACAAGGGAACTACTGAAAGGAAATTGATTCAAACAGATGAAAGATACAATTTGAATGGTGTATCCTAGCAATACATTTGGCAGTTCTTTTACTGCATATCAACTTGCAGTTTTTCTAACTAATTCAGGAAAATACTTTAAGAAATGGAGACATATTTAAACAGGAAGCTACAGCAGGAAACAAGAGCAGAAAAGTGCTCCAGCAGTACAAAACTAGGAGATTCTCAGACATCCAGGTCATGGTTGTCCCAAAGGTGCTTTTTAAAACTTTTTCTGATGCATCATTCTCTCTAGTCAAGCCATTATATTATATTATTTATAGTAGCATTACAGATATAACCAGATGTTTTTAATATTTTAATATTCAGTTTGATTTTAAAGTCCTTGCTTCATGCTAAAACAGTAATTTTATGTGTTTTATATCTTTCCTGTATACTACTGTTTTCCTGTTTCTCTTTTTTTTTACATTAGCATTTATGTAATTTTACCCAGAGAATGTGACTATTGAAATACTGGAATCTGGAAGTTGGGTTAGAGGTAAAAACTTAGTGTTCAAGCAGTGTTGAAAATGAAATTCAAAAATTAAAACAAAGCACTCTTTTTAAAACTATTTAAGTATATGATTTTTATGGCTTCCCATATAATTGGATTATGATCTGATAATGATCTACCCACATAACTAAAGGCTGGAACAAGGTACTATGCATAACAAATTGGTTGTGCTAAATATAAACATCTACATTTCCAAAGTTGGTTACTACTGCAACGGAAAATTTCCTACACTTTATATCAGGGATCTCATAATCACACCATCTAAGCCAGTTGAAAAGCAAGAAACACTAAACAAGCCAGGACTTTTGCTGCTCTTATTAAATAGCTGAAACCAATGTTAATTTTCAAAGAAATGGTGTCTTCCACTTTGGTTTATCAGCTGCACTTCTACTTCTAAAGCAATTATCAAAGACATCTGGTTATATGTCTAGATCCATTTCCGTCAGGATTCAGAACCTAAAGGACAGAAACTGCATGGATTGTACTTTTGGATGACCTCTGACATGACAGGATAGGGATAGTGCATCCATCCTTGCCATACAGGACCCCTCAATGGCTTTCAATACCATTGACCATGATATTCTTCTGGATTGGCTGAGAGGATTGGAAATGAGCAGCATGGGAGAAACCGGAAGCATCACGGCGATACTGGTTGGGAAATAGCGAAGCTCTGTGAGCTTCGCGAAAACCCAAACTGACAAACTGCTGTCTGGCGGTCTTCAGACCGGATCTCTCTTGTAGGTACGGGGGAGAGAGAGAGGCACCTAGGAAGACCAAGAGGAACAGGCAAGTTTCCTTGAAAGGTCAGAGGCAGCTCTTTGACCCGGTGGTGGGGATGGCAGCCATTGAAACAGCCGTATAAACTGGGGCAACCGGATTAAGAATTGAGCAGGAGCGGTGATGAAATGGAGTATTGTTACCAAATGAGTGATTGGCCAACTCATAGGTAAGAAGAAAAAATTTTTAAACTTTAAAAGAGGTCCCAATCTGAAATAAGCGGCTAATTCGCATCCGGGAATTTAAAGCGAAGGGGAAAAAAATAAAAAGGAACTTTAAAAACGAAATCCCTAAAAGGAGAACTAACCACCTGGATTTAAATTGGACTTGGAAGAAATTAAAAATAATATAAAGAAAAGGAAATTGAGAGAAAGCATTTATTTAATGCTTTCAACAAAAGGAACTAATTGAAGAACAGGAAGCACTACTTTTGTGGATTTACAATTGATACTTTTGCCTGGGGATTTGTGGATTAAAGAGAGTCATCTGCTGGTGGAAAAGAAATATTGCACTTAAATCAGCGTGAGAAGCCGCATGAGGAGTATTTGTTTAAACAGCTGCAGTAAGATTACAAAAAGAAGTTGAAAGAATAAAATCTCGAACTGGGAAGGCTTAAAGGACTATCTGAATTGAATTTATTTGGAAAGAAGAAAGGAAAAAAAGGATATCAAATGGACTTGAATTCAAACTATATATAAGTTAAAATAAAAATAAATTTAAAAACTATTTCTTCTTAAATTGAAAATATGGAAAATTGGGAGCACGAGTATGAGGAGTTGACGGAGATGTTGCAAAAAGTGCGAGAAGCGTTTAAGGGAAACAAAGAAGCAGAAGATTGGATAGAATATAGAAAGAAAGAAAGAGAAAAGATAAATGAGAAGCAAGAATATAATGTTGGAAAGAAAATAATTGGAAGGAAAAAATATAGATGATCACACTAAGATTAACACTGATAAAATAAAAATAGATAGGGGGTAATATCTCTCAAAAAAGAAGAAAAGAGAAGGAAATGGGAAAAGAGTAACATGGAGAACTAAAAGGATAATAAAGTTAAAAATTAGAGAAAAGATGCAAGAAGGAGGATACAATAAACACAAAAAGAAGAAGAGGAAGAAAGAAATAAGTGAATGGGAGAAAGGGGAGAAAATATTAAGAAGTGGAATTCAGGAGAGTTTAAAAGAAAATGGTTAAAAGGGGAAAGAAAAAATGTAGTAGAAAGGAATCAAAGCAGTAATATGTTGATTTAAGGGAATGGCATTAGTAGTAGAAGTTGTATGTAAGAAATAAATTGGAATAAATATATAGATTACTGTAAAAGGGAATCTTACTTGAAATTAAGACATAAAATTGAAATGAAAGTAAAGAAATGTGTGCTAAAGATTGAAAAAAACAAAGGAAATTGAAAGTAAGAAATGAAATTGAAATGTTAAATAAATGATGTAACAAAATGTTGTAAGTAGACCAGCAGATACAGAATGGTTTATATGTAAAAATAGCTGGAAGTAATTGAAATATTAGGAAAAGAGAAAAATAACTACTGAAATGGAAATAAGAGGTGGAAAGTTAATTAAGTTGAAAGATTTTAAGGTAAAGATGAAATAGGTTGAAATACAATGTTAAGAATTTTTTAAAATGATGGGAATCTTGAGGGATATATGCAATAAAGGGAGAGAAAAACGGGGATGCCTGGATACCATAGAAAAAAAAGCACTGAATTGAAAATAAATACAGCACTAGAGAGAGATAGAAGGCCTAGGGAGATTGAAGGAAGGGAGGAGGAGGAGAGAGGAACAGAAGAAAGGGAAGAGGAGGGGAAGAAAGGAAAGGGGAATAAGAGTAGGAGAGAAGGTTAGATGGGGGGAGGAAAGGAGGAGGGGGAGAAAGGAAAGGGAAATAGAGAAGGAATAGGAGAGAAGGGAAGAAGAAGGTAGAAAGGATAAAAGAAGGGAGGGAGAGGAAGAGGAAGAGAAGAAAGATTGCTGTAAAACGAAAAAGATGAAATGGAAGAAAGGCATCCCCGAACATGTTTAAATATATTAAGATAAAGAATGAATTATTTTAAAAAAAATAAAGGAGAATGTATATGATTAAGAATGGAAAAAATAGAATTTGAGGGTGAAAGAAGATACTATTTATAGAAATAAGAATAGAAAAATTAAGATTGGATTAACAAATATAGAAAAAGAACACTTTGGCAGAAACTGTAATTAAGTCAAATATACTTGGATATGATAAATTGTATATATGATATGATATGATATATATATGATATGATATGATATGATATGGTCAATACTCTGTTTCAAAAAATATGTGGGTGTGTATTGGGGGCGAATTAATAAAACTTGTCAAAAAAAAAAAAGGAAATGAGCAGCATGGTGCTTTCTTGATTCATCTCCTTCCTTTAGGACCAATTGCACTTAGTGATGATTGGGGAGGAGAGCTCTCTCCCCCACTGTGCAATGGCACAGGATTCGGTGCTTTGTCCTTTCCTTCTTATCATCGACATGAGACCCCTGTGTGAACTCATTTGTGGCTATGGGGTGAGGAATCATCAGCATTCTGAGATACTCAAATATAAATCTCCACCTCTAGTGAGTAAGAGGATTGCCCTTGAAGAGTATCCAGAAGCTTCAGCTAATACAAAATGCAGTAGCGTGGGCGGTTATGTGCACTCCTGGAACAGAACATATTCTACCTCTGCTCCGTGATCTGCACTGGCTGCCAGTTTGCTTCCAGGTCCAATTCAAGGTGTTGGAATAACCCTTCATGACACGGAGTTGTGATATATGTTGGACTATCTCTATATCAGCCTGCCCTATTAGATCTAGCAGTGAGGTCATGTTGCAGATCCCACCAATTGGAGAACTACATTTGATAGGTCCCAGGAGATGTGCCTTCTCTGTCTAGCTAGCTTAAGTAACATCCTTTCCTCCGAAATTAGATTACCTATTTCCCTTCTGATATTCCGAAAGGCCCTGATGACATATGATAGCAATCCTTATTTACCCCATTTCTCACAAAACATACCAGAGTCATTTCCAGTGCTGTTCCTCTTGGCATAGGCACTGCGGACCACCTGTTCATAAACCTGCGCTCCTATCGTTCTCATATTTTCACGAATCATGATACCTTGGGCTTGCATCATGAAGAGATAGGTGTTCACTGCAAGAAAACAAAGATAAGACTAGTTATAGCCTTCTATTTTAGAAACCGCTCTTCCTTTTTACCAATATTTTAGAAAGTTATCAATTTAAGTATTTTAAAATAAATTTAACATAAATATATTTACTTATATTCTAGTAATACAATTCTAGAAATTTACTGTATATTCCAAATCATCCCAGAACAAAAGAATACTAAGAAACATAGACATTATTTTGTTATATTCAGTTCCCATCTTTTCTTCTCCTGTTTGTTTAATTTTATAATCTGAACCTGTGGGATAGTTTCAGCTGCGTTGCACTAATTAATCTAAATTTACTAAGTGACTTTCCATAGTTGAAGGACATGAATCTTTTGCATATGATGTCTACTCATTCCCTACTTAATACAATTGATATAGCTGCTTCAGTTCTCTACCTTAAAATTTCTATTTATTACTTCTGAAATCCAGAGAGATAACTTTTATTTTAATAAGATAACTTACATTTTACAAAAACAATCTTTTTACCACCTTCTAGTTTGGATATATAAAAAGTACAAGCAAATGTAAAAGCAATCAGATTTGAGGAAGGTGGGCTAATAGCATGAACGCATTAGTATTAACTTGATAACATGTACAGTACTAAGTATGTTAAGTTTGAACTCTTTTGAACTTTCTAGAAATATTTCTCACTTAAATTATAAAGAGGCATTGTGATCTTGAAAGATGCCCATTTTGAAGTTAGAACTCTTTCTGCAAAAATTATTATTGAAGTTCTAGAAAATGATTATTGAACATAAAAGAGGCTAAGATGGTAAAAAACATTAACAGAGGGAAATAGAGAAATGAGAACTTAAACAAGATCAAAATACTGAAAAGAGGTCAGAGCATAGAATAATATAGGAACCTGAACTCAGCTATTTGGTTCAGTAACATTCTGCATGTCAAGAGCTTGTTATGCTTGGTAATAAAGGCTGACATATGCTGGTATCAGGAAGCTCTAAATCTCAATATTTATCACCTTATTTGTACAGATAGAAATAAAGTTAGGCTATTTGAGCTACTGCCCTTTTATTCAATTACATTTTCTAAAGTACAGAAAGCCGAACTCAGAAAAAAATGAACCAAATATTCCAATTCTTACACCAACATTATGGAAACAGTAATTACATTAAGCAAAACAAAAGGACAATTCTATGCAAGAGATCCACGGCTACAGAGATCCCTGTTGTATTTTGAGCTTTGACAGGTCAGCAAAAGGTAACTTTAAATATTATAATTAGAAACGCAAAACTATAATCTAGGTCACATTACAAACATAGACATTCTTTCTACCTTTTTTTAAAAAAGTCTTCCAGTATTCTTGACTTAAACTCCACCTCCACCCCAAACTATGAGTAAGCCATCTCTCATAAAACACTGTCTTTCTTACCTTTAATCAATGTCAGATGGATCCTCCAACCTTTCCCTAGGGCAGCCCTTCAATACAGACTCCGTGGCAATTTAGCTGAGATATTTCATTTCTTTTCACAAGAGAAGGGGCATTCTACTTACCTGAACGTTTCTTCTATGTGCGCTGCAGGTGAGTCCAAGCAATGGGTTCAATTTGTCTGATTGGCCAGATACCGAATTGCAAAATCTTTTTGTCTCCTCCTTCCGGCCGAGCCTCAGTTTTTTCAATGAACTTCAGATCTGGAGAAGACATAGTCCATGTGATGACCAACCACTCCTGGACCCCGGATCATACCAGAACCAGGGTGGGATTGGACTCACCTGCAGCGCACATAGAAAGAATGTTCAGCCCCTTCTCCTGTGCATTGCTTGGTAAATCCAAGCAATGGGATATACCCAAGCTAATTTGATGTTGGGCAGGAGAGAGATCGGTCCAGGGTCCCCTCGGCCAGCAGGACTCACTGCAACACTCGTCTCCCAAACGCTACCTCCGAGGAAGCAAAAATGTCCAACTTGTAATTTCTCACAAAAGGAGAAGGGGAAGCCCACATGGCTGCCCTGCAGATCTCCAGGAGAGTGGAGTGTGCCGTGATGCATCATGGAGCAGGTCGAGCTTGATCCTCATAGGCTAGTGCTGTGATGACGACCCTATGGCACGGGTGCCACAAGTGGCACACAGAGCCATCTCTGTGGGCACGCGAGCTGTCACCCTAAATCAACTTCACCGCACATGTGCGCATGCCTCCCGCCGGCCAGCTGACTGGTCTGTGGAGATGCGTGCGCACGTAGGGGGAGACTGGGCGGGAGGGTCATGCACACATGTGCAGGGGACAAGGGGGGTCATGCACGCATGCACAGGGGGCTGGGGGGATGTGGCACACCCCCCATGCCCCATTTTGGGCCTAGCAGGCCTCCCTAAAGCCTTCTGGGACCAAATATGGGCCCGGGGGGGGGGGGCACACATGGGGCGGGGGGGCACAGGGGTGGGGGGGGGGGGGGGTCATGAATGCATGCACAGGGGGGAGGGGAAACATGGAGGCGTATGTGTATGCATAGGGGATGGGGCACGCAGGAGGCATTGCATTCTGGGTGTGGGCACGCACGCGCGTACTGTCGCACACACAAGTGCGCTTTTCGCACCCGAGGAAAAAAAGGTTAGCCATCACTGGGCTAGCGCAATACAAGCCTTTAGCCAGCGTCCAATGGTGGAAGATGACACTTTCTTGCCCATTGACCTGGGCTGAAAAGAAACAAACTTCTGTACATCTGAAGGAAGCAGTCCGCTTGGTGTATTTCCGCAGAGCCCTACGGACATCTAAGGTATGCCAGTGTCTCTCATGGGATGCCTGGGATTCGGGCAGAAGTCCAGTAGAATAACTTCCTGCGCTTGATGAAACCATGTATTAACTTTTGGACCAAATGTTGGGTCCAAATGGAGAATGACTCTATCCGGGTGAAAGATACACAAATCTGAATGCACCAAAAGAGTGCCAGTTCCAAAATTCTGCACGCAGATGTGATCGCAACTAGGAATGCAACCTTAAAGATGAAATGTCTGAGGCTGGCAGATCTCAAGAGCTTGAACGGGGATAGTATCAGAGCCTGCAATACTAGGAACAGGTCCCAAATTGGGTATCTGTGAACCGTCGGGGGTAAAAGGTTGGATACCCCTCTGAGGAAGGTACGTACCCTCGGGTGTTGAGAAAGTGGCACTGTTCCTTCCCCTGGCAGGGCGGTGGCCAAGGCAGCAACCTGTCTGTGAAGGGTATTTGTTGACAATCCTTTATCTAGACCAAGTTGCAAAAAGTCCAAAACTTGTGGAACTGTTGCCGATGTGGGAACTACTTTCCTTTTGGCACACCAGTGACAAAATGAAGTCCAAGAGGCCTTGAGGGAAGCCAGCATCGTGGAGATTACTCTGCTTGAAAATTTGTCTCTCCTGAGGATCTTCTGTTCAAGAGCCAAACAGCCAACTGCAGCCAATGAGGGTCCGGGTGGTACAGAGCCCCTTGGCTGAGGGATACCTCGTTCAGTGGCAGTTTCCATGGATGGCCGATGGACAGCGACATCAGATCCGCAAACCATGGCCTCCATGGCCTAGAGGTGCCACCAACAACACATCTGCTTCTTCCTCCAAGATCTTCCTGATGACCCGTGGAATTAGGGGTATCAGAGGAAACGCATACAACAGCCCGGCTGGCCATGGACAGCGAAGTGCGTTGACTCCATCGGCTGTTGGTGTCCGGAATCTGGAGAAAAACCTCAGGAGTTGAGCATTGTGCAGGCTGGCAAATAGATCCAGGACCGCAAGTCCGAATCGGTCCGTTATTTGGTGAAACAGGTCTGGGTGGAGTCTCCATTTGGACTGGTCTATTGTTGTTCTGCTCAACCAGTTCGCCTGGGTGTTGGAAATGCCGGAGATGTGTTTCGCTCTCAAGGACAGCAGATGTTGTTCCGTCCAGTGGCATAGGTCGTTGGCCTTGTGCATGAGGATTTTGGATCAAGATCCCCTGTCTGTTGACTTGCGCCTTGGCCATCACATTGTCCACCAAAAGAACATATTGGCCCGCCAAATCCAATTGAAAGTGACGAAGCGTCAGATTCGCCATCCTCAGTTCCAGCCCAGTTGATGTCATTTTGCAAATCTTACTGAGACCATCGATCTTAGGCCACCTTGGATCTCAGGTGAGCCCCCCAGCCAAATAAGCTGGCGTCTGATGTCAGCACCTGTCTGGGAGGTTCTCGGAATAGACATCCCTCCTCCATGGCCGTCGATGTCCACCACGAAAGGGAATGAAGAACCTCTGCCTGGTGACTTTGATCTGGGATAGTGAATTGCTTTGGCCTGCTCTCTGACTGGGCAGGAAGAGCCATTGTAGGGCTCTTGAATGTAAACGAGCCCAAGGAACTATAGCTAGGCAAGATATCATTTCCCTAATAGTCGGGAGAGGAGCAGTAAGGGAACTAAGTCTAGGGACCTGATTTTTTTCACCATTTCCCTTATGCTTGGGACAGGAAGACCTGCGACGAGCAAGGGTCTATCACCGCTCCCAGATGAGTTAGTCAGGTAGATGGTGTCAATTGGCTTTTCTCCCAGTTCACAGAAAATCCGTGAGCCTGGAGGGTCAAGACCGTGATACGAAGGTCCTGTTGTTCCTGTTTGAGCGACGACTGAATTAGTATGTCGTCGAGATAACACTCGCAGGCTCGCAGCTATTACATCTAGCAGTTTAGTAAAGATCCATGGTGCCGACGAAAGGCCGAAGGGCAGAGCCCTCTATTGTCAATGATGGCCTGCGTATGCAAATCTGAGGAACCTGTGGTGGGATGGCCTGATGGGGACATGGAGATAGGCCTCCTTCAGGTTGATTGACGTTAAAAAATCTCCCTGCCGTATGCAACCCAAGATAGTGTAAAGGGATTGCATTCTGAACCTCTTGTACTTTATATGTATATTTAGGTCTTTCAGGTTCATTATGGCCCTTTGGCTTCCTGAACGCTTGGGAATTAGACAGAGTATGGAATAAAATCCCAAGCCCCTTTGTCCCAGTGGCACAGGTTCTATTGC